GAGTGAGGACTCTGGCTGGGGGTGTGTGGGTTGTGGGGTGTGGCAAGGGATGCAAAGTTTGGGGTGTAGGAGGCAGCTCAGGGCTGGGGTATAGTGGAGAGTGAGTTCTCCAAATGGAGGTATGGGCTTTAGAGTGGGGCAGGGGTTGGGTTGCCAGATGGTTACAATAAAAATACTGGACACACTTGACATTACATCACAATCTACATTACATCTTATTTAGAAAATACCGGCCATTTATATTTTCTCATTTATATTTTCTCAATTTGTTTCCCAAACAGAAAGCTCAAATACTGGATTGTCCAGTTCAAAAGGGGACACCTGGCAACCCTAGGCAGGGGATGAGGGAGTGCAGGCTGCTCCAGGGAGAGAGGACTAACCCCAGCCCTCTCTCACTGCAGAAGCTCTGAGCCAGGTGAGAAGTGCCTCTCTATGGGTGGAGTAGCTCCAGAGGGGCCTGGCTGGGGAAGGGTGCCACTCCATGGCCCTGGCATGTCCAGGCTAGGTTAGGTGGGGACTGTGGAACCTCTCCCCCAGCCATGAGAGGTACATGTGGGGGCTGGGCTGGGGCCAGAAGAGAGGCAGCTCTTCCCCAGCCATGGCAAGGCTGGGGCAGCTCCATGTTGGAGCTGGTGGGCTGCAGCGCCTCTCTCCATTGCAATTCAGAGCCCTGCATGGAAGTTAATAGCAGTCGCCTGGCCACATAGCTTAGAGGGAATCTAGCTGCCAGGTTTCCTTGTCAATTTCATGTATCCAGAAATTGACAAATCAGGCAACAGCTGATACAAGTTAACACAGTATTTACACAGACACTGCATCACTTACAAGGCTCTGGTATGTATACTGATATAATTAGTTCGACAAAGCTGTTGTAGTGTAGACTAGGCCAAAAACTAGGGAGTTGGTTGTTGCTGAAGAGTAAAAGGGAGGCCAGGAGCACTAGAAGAGAGGAAGGAAGGTAGAAGGAATGACTGGGTAGGAATTCTTTACAGGAGAGGATGGGTAATAACACTAATAGGTAAAAACTCAACTGTTGCCCCGGAAGAGAAGGGTGAAGAGGACACTGAGGGTACATCTACACAGCATCATTATTTCAGAATAACTGTTATTCTGAAATAACATAGTCCCTGTCTACACACAAGCAGTAATTTCAACAAAATGTCAAAATAATGTCCAGCTGGAGGATTTCTTACTTGAGTTCCTGAAACCCTCGTTTTATGAGGTTTAAAGGTAGTTGGAGAAAGAGTGCTCGTTCTCAGACTTACTGCTGTGTAGACAGCATCAAAAGCTGAAATAAGCTATTTCAACTTAAGCTACGCAATTGACATAGCTCAAGCTGCCTAGCTTATTTCCGATTTAGCTATGATGTGTAGACGTACCCTGACACTAGTGACTGGATAGTGAAGGGAGAGAGCAGAAGTCCTGCTGCTTCTCTTGGACAGAGTAAGTAGGTGGAGGAATTGGAAAGGAATGGGCTAGGGATGTAATTAGGGATTGTGACTAGGGTTGCCAGGTGTCCAGTTTTGAACCAGACAGTCTAGTATTTAAGCTTTCTGTTTGGGAAACATTGAGGAAATATAAATGAGAAAATATAAATGTCCGGTATTTTCTAAATAAGATGTAATGTAGATTGTGATGTAATGTCAAGTGTGTCTGGTATTTTTGTTGAAACCATCTGGCAACCCTAATTGTGACAGACGAGGTACCGCTGCCAGGGCCCGAGGAGGAGGAATGTAAGAACACTAGTGATTAGAGGAGGAGAGGAATTCGCTTGGGGAGGGTGGACAGTATATTGTGCTTGTACAGTGTCCAGGAGAATGAGGTCCTGATTCCTGGCACCCTGACAGTAGAATAAGACCTATTAACACTAGCGGTTAGATGGGAACAGCTTCTGAGGATCAAGAGAAGGAGGGACCCGAGTGGGAGGGAGCCCAGCAACCCTTGCCCATAGTTGAGCAAGTTGCTGCTGTGGTAACTGGTGAAGAAGGAAGAGAGGAGTGTGGAAGGAGGAAGGGCAGTAGTAGTGGAGAGTTGGGGTGGAGGGAAGACGGTGCCGCTGCTTACTGGCTGAGGAGAGGGGCGGGGGGGATGAGGGCGGTGGCGGCCGGGGGAGGCAGAGGAGGGCGGAGCAGGGCCCTGGCGC